TCAGGAGCCATCCTGCAACGTAAGAACTACCTGGCACAGCATGGCATCCCAGTTCACTCATTGTTGGCAATGATCCCCACTCCACGCTGATCTCCCTTCCCTCTGAATCACACACACAGGTCGGGAGAGCACATGCTGGCCTATGCCAAGACCGTCATGGAGCGAGTCCTGCCAGCGAAGGGGGGCAGACAGACAGACGTGTACCTGCTGTGCCTCCCAGGCTAGATGAAGCCATTCATGCCAACAAGCCTCGGCTGGGACTACGGACCCGCACTCCTCTGCTGCGAGCTTCCCCTTCCTGTCCTCCCCCTAGAGAATCCAGTCTCATAGCCTAAAAGAACCCAAAAAGTCAAACTCACACCAACAGTCCTGCTGTAACTATACAGACTGCACTGAGGAGTTGGTATTTGTATATATAATTCTGTATAGTTCTACTAGGCAACGTGAATTTTCAGCGCAATATATGTATCAGTCCCTATATCAGGGCTATCCAAAAAACCACACATGGAAAGACACTGTTAAAATTCTGTTATCTGAAGAATGTGAACCTGCAGCTGAAGGAATCCAGCTGCGCCACAGAGACCTGAAAAAGCAGTGGTTGCCTAAGAGCAACCCACACTTCTTCCTGATATCTAATGTAAATCTACCCTGCTCAATGCAGAATTGTGGGGTTTTTTTGCTTTAGCCCTTTCACTAATAATTTCCAACATCCTGTTCAGGCTCTTTTCAGTGATGTCCAATGACAGGACAAGGGGCAATGGGACCATAGGAGGTTCCACAAAAATACTAGAAAAAACTTTTCCCCTGTGAGGGTGACAGAGCCCTGGCACAGGCTGCCCAGGGAGGTTGTGGAGTCTCCTTCTCTGGCGACATTCAAAACCCCCCTGGACGCGTTCCTCTGTGACCTACTGGAGGTGATCCTGCTCTGGCAGGGGGGCTGGACTAGATGATCTTTTGAGGTCCCTTCCAACCCCTGACATTCTGCAATTCTGTGATTTTTGACTGCTGCTGGGAACCAAGTAGAAGCCTGGAGAGGAGCAGTCCCAGGACAGTCACAGCTGGGTTCCACCATGAGGATTACTTTTCCTACTTATGTTGCCTTGCTTATATTAACAGTGGATTTCAGTCACTGTTTAAAATACCCCATCAGCTTTTGAGTACCTTGAATAACTTTTATCTCAGCAAACTCTTGTCATGCTGCTGTTTGCTCTGCCCAGCACAGGAGCTTGTGCAGCTTTTTAGGGCTCCACAGAGAACAATTTAGGAACTGCTGACACAATTTTCCACATCGTAATGTCATGCTGAGCAAGCTAGAATCATGATGCATAATTTATCAACTGTCTGTATTTATTCTAAATTGAATGGATTTTGCTTTCGTCCAGAACATACAATATGTGCAAGCACCCTGAGCCAACCGTAAATTACTGCCCTACTGACACAAAGCAACCCGTGTGCAGCAAGAGCATTACAGCAAACACAGACATGCAGGTTTTAGGAGATGCAAGCAGCCTTTGAAATAGCACAAGTCTGAGCTTCCACCTGGGAAACCAGTACAGGCAACACACCCAACACACCTTTTCTTACCTAAACCTTCTGCAGCGCAGCAGCCGAGTCCTCTATCGCAGCCTGCTTCTGGCCGTGAATGCAAGGACGAGAAAACTGAGCAGGAGAAGGCAGAGATCAGGCACACGACACGAGTGAGAGGGAGAAAGACAACACGGAAACTGGCTTTATCAGGGAGGGAGAAATCTGAATCATCCCCTTTCTTTCAGATTCCCACGATGTTTGGAAATCCTAGTAATGGCACTCACGTTGCATGTACTTTGGAGCGGCTTCATTACAGCTACACTCAAGGGTGGTTCTTCCAAACCAAACCACTGTCCAACTGAAACAGAGCTGGGGCACTACAGATGAGGAATAGCACGTGTTCCTTGTTCCTGGTTTTTGTTTTTTCCCTTGAATGTACTGCAGATACCAATGTGACAGTTTTAAGTGTAGCCTTCCAAGCACTATTCAGACATCATTAAAAAATCCGCCATACTCCTCCTTCCTTCAATTGCAGACCAGACCGTTCAAGTCTCTATTCATAAGCTTCTCCAGAGAGACACTCTAATTATGCTCAAGACTTCTAACATTGCATTATACTGCCACTGTCTTAGGAGCCTAATCAAGTCATAAACTACAAATCCAGCAGCTGGGTCAGGACTAATCAAGTGCTTTCTCTTTGTTCCAGGTGGGAAGAAAACTAGCACCACCACACTGCCTTTTACTTGCTTGCACTGGAGCTAGTGGAGGCACTGAACTCACAAACAGCCCCAACAGGTACGACCCCTCACGTGAAATCCAGCACTTGGTGCCTGCACCAGCACTTTAAAGCTGTAATAAATGACCCTCTCACTGCTCCACGTATTTTTCAGTAGAGGGCTTGCTGAACGGTAACCAAACCACCAAAACCCAGACAACTGAGAACACTTAACCTACACTACACAAACTCCTCAAACAAGCTCTGAGACACTTGCAGACAGGAATCAACTCTCCACCTATGAACAAGCCTCCAGGCCAACAGCCTAGCAGAGAAGGCAACTGGCATTTTCCCTTTCCTTCCCGCCACGAGCAGGTTTTCATATTCCTGCACCACGTAAAGAGCTGCAATCCCATCCCAATGTACTGCTGGTTGTTCCCTCTGCTGGCTTGGCCAGCTGTAGCCGTGGCCAGCACTAGTTCAGGCATGCAGGGGTAACCATTGCACCCATGATGCACGGCTCATGCGCCCACAGCACTTGCCAAAGCACATTGTTAAGCATACAGCATGGTATGAAATTGTGGAGTGTGAAAATCCTTAGAAATAACCTCTTTAGAGTCTGCAGATAGATACTTGCAGGTATATTTGATGCAACCTGTGAGCTGTCTGAGCGTGCACTGTGCTGAATTATGCCCTTGACACATCTTTCCTGGAATCCCACCTCCCTTTGCTGCATACAGACGCAGAAAATGAAAAACAAGACTCTTGGAGACTGTTGCACACTGTGACTAGCAACGTGAGATTCCATTTTACCTGCAGACACAGCCCACCCGCTGCCAGCTTCCCTCTTCTTCCCCTCATCTGGCTCAACAACTGCTTTTTTCATGACCTTCCCCTGCCACCAAACTGTGTCTCCGAGGAAAACGCTGTGGCCAGTGAGGATGGAGCACAGCTGGAAATTCTGCCCTGCGATATTTCTTTACCAGGACAAAGTGCCACTGCACGCCACCAACCAGCTGGAACAGGAGTCCAGCTGATGCTGTCAAACCCTACCCAAGACTAACTCATTGGTAATTTTGGTTCGAAGCCCGCACCCTGTGCTGCTCAGTGTCCAAACGACCCCAGTTTGTTTGATACCTCAAAGTAATTCCTTCATCTTGTCCTGAGGACAAGGCATGTAACCATTTCAAGAGACATATTTTCAGGTCACTCTTCCTGACAATGTATATGCAAGATTTTTCTCCTCCCCGTGGTGATTTCCAACAAATGATCATTACCCTGATCATCGAGACACTTAACCAAGCATTGGGTTCAAGAAAAGAAAAGAAAGAGCTTTAACATATATGCAAATTTAAGCACACGTCCTGATAAACTGGAACCTAACAAAACCCATTAACCAGAGATACAGAACAAAAAAAAAATAAATCTACAGATATCATAACTTTTTATTTAAGTTAGCTGAGGATGCATATTTGGCTCAGGACTGTTCATCCTTGACTTTAAAGAGACTGACTGCAAATAATATTAAAAAAATAAAATAAAATAGAAAATGTAAAATTACTATTTTCAAAATTGTCACAGATTTTGAAAACACTTGTACAAATTCCGCAAACTTTGTATCCCCTTAAAGTGGCATCATTTTGCTACCATACGTAATGAGAATTGAAAATATTAGTACTTTAGCCTTAAGCTTAAACATAGACATATTCATGCCATGTGTAATTTCAAGAGGGTATCAAAAGTGACAGTGTTAGAAAAATATACATACTTTCATTTCCGGAAAAGAATCGGCAATTTGAAATATCCATCAAATAAAATACTATAAAAGCCTCTCCACAGATTTTTTTCCACAGTCCAACATAAAATGTATGTTTATATACAGCTTATGCAATCTGTCATTTTCAAGATGGAGTCGGAAGTTTCACCAGTACAGAAAAGCTCATCTGTTACTGCCCTCTGAGCTGCTGGCTGTGCTGCGGCACGACTGTTTAAGCAAGCCAAAATAGGAGAGTCGCACATCCATACCCAAAGCAATCCTAAGAAAGGCAAGGAAAAATGCAAGTACACGAGAAGGAAGGAAAGCATATTGATAGAGACAACACTGAGAGGAATAGCGACCAGTAGTACAAGACATGAACTTGTTAGTAGCATGCAGTAATTTCTACAGGGAAAAAAAGAATAAAATCATACTCTAAGTATTAAAAGGACACTTTTGTGATACTTGTCATGAATTCTTAGTAATACTAGATTACTATCTACTGAAAATAGCCTGGCCTGAATTTATTTCAGTGGGTATGGTTTGTTGCTGTGCTTCGGTTCGTGGCAGTGCTAAACTTCAGTTGCACATCCACCAAGTAAACCAAAACAAAACCCCTTCGTTTTTAAAAGGAAGTGAGACAGGAAAAAAGTTTCAAAACCGTGTGCTTTCAGTACCTGAGTGCAATGCAGTAGCCAGAGCTATGGTTTGATTATGACTTGTTTAAATTAATTCCAGTGAAAAGAATGATTTTGGAAGAGCAACACGGCACTCGCAACAGTGACTGAAGGTAAAGATCTGGTGACACCTCAAGATCTGAAATCCTCTACAGTGTCCTTTTAAGTGTCAGTGGATTAGTATCATAGCTGCAACTGAAAAAGAACACAAATCCTAATGAAATAACTCAAATCAAGAATGTTATGGTATTTCACAGTAATAAAGAAACAGTCTATTCTATGGAATTACTGAACAGAAAAAAGCGTGAAGGATAATAGCAGCATATGGTTTACAGTTTTAATCTTTTTCAGTTTATTAATAATAGTGGTGCACTCAGCAATGGATAAAGCAAGGAATGAAATTCTGACAAAACTGGCAATTATCTACCACATGCCAACACATAATTACCATCCTTGTAAACAGCTAACTCCTTTATGAATTTTAATTGCAAAGAAAAGAATATTTACATGTAATATATATACATATAACCACAAAACCAAAATTAAGTCAAATCCTTATCAAGGAAATTGCATTTCAAAAAGAAGAAAACACAAAACAATATTAAATAGTACATGTCCAAAGATTTTGAAGGCAGCGTGATTTTCATGTTTTCTTCCTCCAGTCATTTCCTCCTGGATTTTAGTAGACTAAATACCTCATTTCAGAGTAAATAAGTGGAAATATTATAGAACAACTCCGGTAAAGAATAGCTCCACTATTGAAAAATGCTCGAGGCATGGTGATCCAGGACTCTGACTTAAAGCAAAAATAAACAGCGTATAGTGCCACAGCAAAGAAGTGGCCAATCAGTACCATTGGCTTAGGAGATAACCTGTGTTAAAAATAAATAGATAAAGCACATAAATCAGAAAGGACTGACAAACCTTCATGTCACAAATTGAGATCTCCACCCAAGGTTACGCTCAGCCTGCGGATTTAGGCAGCTCTGATCCTACTGTGTCTACTGATAAATACCAAGTTGGTTGTCCTGGAGCTACCACAAAGCCCATTCTCCTTTCTCCAGCCCGAGCAGCCCACGCTGCCGCTGGCCCTTCTCTTCCAGTAGCCTGGAACCTCCCAGGGGATTATTCTCACCAGGCTTTAGCTCTCATTCCAAAATGGGAAAAAAATAAAAGAACACATTCTCAACGTGTTCAGAAATTTATTGTGCATTCACTATTTTCTGCAGGGTCACTCAGAACACTTTGATCGTTACTAATTCCCCTGTTCCTTGTGTTCTTTTGTGGGAGACCTCATCCTTTGCTGCTCTCAGCTTGTCAAGCATGAAACATCCCCACCGGCTCCTCTGCTGGTCTGGCTCCTTCTACCGCATTCCAATTCCTGTGCCACCTACACTAACCTCCTTCCAGCTTTTAGTGGCATTTTTTACAAAGAAAGCCTTTAAAGACAATGTCTACTAAAGCTCCAACCTTTAGCATAATCCTAAAAATATGGGCCCATGCAGAGCACTCTCCCTGTGCAGAGCTGACTGACTGGGAGCAGAGCAGATCCTCAGAGGAGCCCCGAATGCTCGACCCAGTTCACGTTAACCATTACCAGCACTCTGAACTTACACAGACAGCAATCCAACCGGACCCGAGACACATTCTCCACCAAGTCTGAAGTAATGGAAACAGGCTTTCTTTAGCTGATGCAAGGAATCTACAAAATGAATTAAAATATCTCAACAAATATATATCCGACACATAACAAAAACTTTTTCCACACAAGCAACAGTGATATTAAGGACTTTGGTAGCTGTTGTAAATTTGACTAGATTTAGAGCTACTTTTATTTAAGTAAAGGATAATCTTATAGATCTACATATTCTTGATTTAACTGACACAAGAACAAGTGTTCTCCATTTGTTTTCTTTGTTTGTGGGGTTTTTCTTTGTTTCTGTTTTTTTAATACTAACTCAGACTTGCCTTCACATTGCTAAAACTCTGTTTATATAACACTAGAACTAAACACCTAGGCAGAGAACACAAGCTAACTCATTAAAATCCTTGGACGGATATATTTTTACTTGGACGGATATATTTTTAATATATAATCAATATACATGCATAGATACACATATATACACACATATTCACACAAACACATGCTTATACCCATACACATCCCCTACTCTCCAGGCACATTTATTTGCCAAGTTGTAATGAGTGCGAAGTTATCTTTAAAATATATTTACCATCTGTGGCAGCAAAGAGTTCATAAAGTGCCTGGGCAAGAACATTCACTACAAATGAATGAGACTTTTTTCTTGACCAGTAAAATGTTCTTTTTGCCTGGAAAAGGAAAAAAAAAAAGAAAGTTTTTATGTCAGTAAATATAGAAAAGCATTCAAAAGATTCCCAAAGAGATGGTAAGAGTCATATTCATGAAAAGGCAGAGTTAATTTAGCAATATGCTGCATCAGTTCCAAGCTAGGTCATTAAGGAACTTTAGAAAGGTAGTTCCAGGCCATGCTTCATCTCATCCTATAGTACATGCCTCAGGTAGGCCAGAAACACTCATTTAGTTCTCTCTGTTGACTGAGAGTTAAGTAGGAAATAACCAAAATTCTGAGGCAACCAGCTGAGATGTAAGTATCTGCATTTGGTCAGGTAAGTCCTGTATTGTCCTGACATTCAGGGTCCTTGTATGGCTTACTCAATTTTCAAATGCACATTTGAAATTTCGTATTTTTGTATTTTTCAAATACACATTTTAATTTTTAAAAATCATCTACTTGTAGTCAATAATTACCCTAGCTGTAATTTAGCCAAGACAATAAGCCTAACCTAGTTAAAAGCAGCAAACAAACAAATAAGAAACCTTATTATCTCCTCATCAGAATTTTGGTCTAAATCTCACTGAAAAAACCCAAACTAGCGTCGACACCAGTGGTGCTGATTCCTGGGAATGAAAGATGTCCTCTAACTTACTCCAGTGAGATGAATGCAGCAGCCAAGAGGCTCGTGGAGCACTGAGAAGCATCTTGAAAAAAAACTCAGTGCACGTGCTTGTTATTCTCTAAGCACCACCTACACGTGTGTAACGGATCAAACCCATCCTGTTTAAAATCAACCTAAGTTACAATTCCATTACTAATATGGGAACGCCAGGTTACTTCAGCAAAGCATCCCAACTAGGCGCAGCACACCAGCCTCCTTAGGCAAGAGGCAGAAGGTCTGCAAGCAGAGTTTGGAATCTGCTCTGTGTCACACAGCCACAGCACTCGCCTGTCACAGCTCCTGGTAGTGGGGAATGCCCAACGTGTGCTTTATCTACCCAAAGCCTTGAAAACTGCTGTGCCTCGCTGCTAACGCCCATGTGCCCAAGCTGCGTACAACTTTAAGTATGGTTAAACTGCAGCAAGAGCTGCCTAAAATAAGTCCAAAGTAAAGTTTCACCTTAAGAACGTCAGAATCTTCATAAAGGTCTGGAATATCCTGGAGCAAACTTCTCCATATTTTAACATCGTTTAAAATAACACTCATTCCTCCACCAGTTAGAGGGTGTCTTATATTATATGCATCTCCTAAAAGAAGAACACCTAGACAGAAGAGAAATATTAATGGGATACTGTATGACCATTATGTAGTCTTGGAACTCAAACTTACTATTTTTAAAAAAATGAACCTTACTAAGAATTCATTCCCATCAGAAAATAAGATGAATAATAACTAGAAAGTAAAAAAGAAAAAAAGAAAGTAGGAAAAAAAGCCCCATCTCTGTCTTTATAAACAGGCTTAAAAAGGCTTTAATATGATCAAGGTGAAAATATCTTTCCCTGTACGTATGCATTTGTTTGTGTCAAAACCCATACAATTTTTTAAGTTAATTTCTTTCCTTTTTTAATCAGGTTTTCCTTAAAAAGATCACACTTGTGTAAGCTTGAGCAACTGAGTGATTTAAACTCAAAAACAAAGCAGGCACTGATTTGAAGTCTGGTGTCAACAATAAACATTCCAGCTAATCTATGCCCAAGGTACACACTTTCAAAATAATACTTTTCATAGAAGAATTAAGAGACAGTTGTACTGAATAAAATATACATGTTTATGACAGCAAAGCACTAAGTCCCAGAAAAAAATTATAATGCTTTTCCCCTCCTTTTTGTTTCACAATACACACCTTTTTTGTTTACAGCTGAAGGAGGCAAGAAGCTGGCTGGCATAGTCCTTAAACGATCATTCTGAACTGCTATCAAGAATTGTTCCTTTAAGTGATCTGCAATAACCAAATATTTTAGTTACACTAGAGAGTCTAAAATAATTTGCACACATCCCTTTTAACCTCTACTTAAGAGATAAAATCTCTAAGATGTGATATATTCACCGATGTGCACTTAACACACTGCTGGGTGATAGGGACTCCAAGAAGGGCAAACTCCAAGAAGGGAAACAGGAACTGCGCACACGTCAAAAGCCCACACAGCCCGAATGGGTTCACTGAAACATGCCTTTTTTGGCACATTTAATTATGGCAATCATGGAGGGAAAACCTTCTAGACTTACCAGGTAATTGTGGATGAATGTTCTTAACCATGTATTCTTTCAAATTTTTTGGCATTTCCCCTCGAATATCAACAAGGACCCGAGTCTCAGTTGAAGAAATCTGATAGATTAGTACTGGACTAGTTCTAGCCAAAACAAGTTCAGCATAATTAGCTTTAAACTGTGGTGCATCCTTAAAAAGAAAAGCAGAGGGAGAAAGTTTGAGACTGATTAACGAAAGGATATTAAATTTCAGATATACAAAATCAGTTTCTGAAATACTTTGAAATAAAATCCCATATCATATTAAGTTTATGTTACTTTTTAAGTGAACAAAAGAAGCGTTTTCAAAAAAAATTAGTTCTGAACTTCAGCCTAGTTACAATTCTTTTGACAGTACGTTTTAATATTTGCTAGAACATATGCCAAGCTATACACTTCATTTGATTAGCTCACTAATATTTAATATATGCCCTTGAAAATCTGTAATGTAATCAGTGTAGTCATTTTTGGTAAAATAATTTTCTTTTCCTAAAGGGAGGTACAGAAAAACACTACTTTGTGTACAAATACTTGGGGATATCAACTGAGGAAGAATCAAGAGGTCCTTCTAACTAGGTCTTTAAAAAGTTTCCAAAAGTAGGGAAGCAGGAAGCACTTGCGCAGTGGTGTGTTAGGGACCCAAAAAAGCACTAAAGTTCCTCCAAGTCGGTGTTCCCAGTAGAGTGAAAATTCCATAGTTCTGGTTCCTTTTTCCTTAATTATCTTAGTTGTTAATGAAATAGTTAATGCAGCAGCCACAGAGGGCAAGACTCACCCAGGATTTGTACCCGAGTTCTCCAACCACTCAGCTACCAACCTAGATTCCCACTTTCTCTCTTGACATTTATAGGTCCCAAAGGTATGTGTGTACCTGGCTACAAGATACCCCCCCAGGCAGGAGCACAGTTTGTGGATTCTTCTGAGTATAAAACACAGATCATCCTGGCAGGTCAAACCACCTAAAACTCAAGATTTCTTCTGCTCCCTGAGTAAGTGTTGTCACGTATTGTGCAAAAATGGGTGTCACCACCTTTGCTACTGGTATCTGAACACAAACCAGCCAAAGCACCTATATCCAGGGAAACAACTTTACAAACTGGGTTCCAGATTTACAATGGGGCCTGCTTCTAATCCAGAAATTAGTGCTATATACGATATGGCATTAACAGTGCACATAGCACTACCTTACAAGAAATGCTGAACTTCATTTTTCTTTAAAAAGAGAGAAAAAAAAATTTTCTGTGAACTGATCTAGTGAGTCCAATGCTCAATTTAGACTAGCTATGTTAAGTCCTAGTCCATTTTTAAAAATCCTCCCTTGTGCAACTATACACTCAAGATTAATGCTATATTCCACTCTTAAAATCACAAATCTAACAATAACCACTTTTTAAAAAAACAATGACAAAACCAAAACTGCCTCACAGTTACCTGAAAGTGTTGTAAGAATTGAAAATCTAGCCTGTAACTGTACCAAACGTTAAGTCTGACCTAGCAAGCTCAGCTATCCTAGAACTGGGAGAGAGCACGCATCAATAATTTAAGAGTTAAAAACAGAGATCAAAATTTCCAAGCACTCCTCAGTGGGACAGTGAAACAGAACAGCTGGATAAATATCTCAAAGCACAGCTCTAACTGATTCTGAAAAAATAATGAACAACGATGTACTAAGTGAAATTCAGACCCACGCTTTTAAGCGGTAGCACACTCGCCCATATAGTACGAGGCATGTACGTTACCTTCAAAATGCAACCAACAAAATGGGATGAGATAGTAACTTTGTTGGAGACCAAGTTTTTTCTAAACTTGGAGAAAAGTCCATCAGCTACAACAGTAAGTGGTGCATGAAGCTCCTGTAAGCATAAGGAAAAAAATTAAAAATATGACATTTTCACTTTTGCTTCGGAACAGTGGGAAACAACTCCCAAGCTCTCGTTTTCCCTTGTAGAGCATCAGATGTTCTACACAACAGTGAACATATAAGAGGATCAAAGATCATATTCACGATTAACTCTATTTCCTCTAAAATTTGCTCCTGCAGTATACTTCAGGTTTTTACACATGCATTTAGATAACATAGTTGTGGGCACTGTCTAGAAACTTGGATAAAAAAAGAGAAGAGAGTGGAGTAATTGCTCCCTTCAGTGTATAATGCTCTTCAGAAGAAAATAAAGAAGAGATTTTAATTTAAAGAACCAGGCATAAGAAACTAAACAAAACCAAACTGAAGTGTAACAAACTGCAATGCAGTAGGTATACCAAGATCTTCTAAAAGACCAGGCAGTGAACTCTGAGCAACTCCTAGTATACTTAGGAACTTTAAGAACAAATTACAAAATAAAATCTGAGTAAGCTGGTTAGGTTCAGCCTGAACTTATGCACAAATTCCTAATGTTTAACACATAATTGTTCTCTAACATAAGCAGTTTTTTCTGAACATTAAGATATGTTTTTCAAGCATTTTACTGATATTGTAATATAACATTATTAATTTAGAAAGCAGTATTATTTAGTGGTAGATGTATCTTTCTACCTACAGCTTTTTCAATGTCTGTAGTGATCTAACAGTAAACGACTATACATTTATACTGAGCATTAGTTCTTGGCCTCCAATAATTGCATAATCTGGCACGAGCAGGAAAAAAAAAAATTTTTTCTTTTAAGCTTTCAGGATATAATTAACAAGTCAAAAAAGCACGCCACGTCTCATTAGTAGTCCTGGGAAGCATTTTACTATTGGATGGAGGCATCTGGTGAGCCAGTATGCAACTGGTTCCTGTAAGAGCAGTTCTCTCCTGCACAGGAATGAACTAAGTAACTTGTGTCACACAATCTTTATGTCTTTTGCTGTGTGAAGGGAAGTTGGACAAAACGAGAGTAGAGCTGAGCGAAATAATCTATGTTTATGGTGTCTGAGCTTATAGAAGCAAGCTCCTGAGCAGAACTAATGAAAACTTTTTCCTATGGATTCCTGTCTCAGATGACTGCAAGCTCTACTTCTTCCCACAATTAGAGCCAAGTTACCTGCCCGTATTGGTTCCCTGGCACCTAATGATCTGAACATCCATGCTACAATTTCTCCACAGTCAGCATGCTAAGACCTTTACTCTATTCAGTTGCCTAGTTTTGATAAATTTTAATATTTAATATTAATATTAATTAATATTAATATTTAATATTAGTATACTGGCTAATCGGAATCTCATGTAAAAGAATAAAAATCAGAAAAGTAATGTGGTGGACAACAGGGATGGAAAGAACAGAAAAATACAGACAAACAACATAGATCAGCTTCCTTTCTTTATGAAAGCAGGCCAAGGAATGTAAACAGGCTTGTTTCTCATTTTGGGGATTTTCCCTCTAAGCAGTTTGCCAGCTGTAAAAAGTCACAGGTAGAGAAACACAGTTAAGAAGAAATGTTTAGTTCTTACACTAGCTTTCTGAAACCAAAGGAGATCTAGGCCAGCAAATGAAACAGGGTCTTCCAGAGAGGAAGCTCAAAGCCTTCAGAACATTCATGCTCTCAGAAAAAACGCAGGCTAAAACACTGCTCACCCTACTGCTGAAGGAAGTCACACTTGAAATCACAACAACATCCATAACTGTGTAAAGCTTAAAAACAGATGTCAAAGCAAAATACGCACTATTCCCCTCCACACCCCAAATAAAACAAACCAAAAAAACCCTTCTATATTGCTGGATGATAAAGCCAGCTGGACTGGGGGCAGAAAACTCCACCAAATCACCTCACTCCCCAAAAGACTCCTCTTCTCCAAACTTCCTATCCTTCCAGGACCCATGTGTGATTCAATGCCTTATTCTACTAGAGTGGATTTCCTAATACAGTTTTGTTCACTTGATGTGACATGTAAAAAAAGACCAAGGAACAGGACTTGGACGTCTCCCTTCCTCCAGGTGCCTCAAGAGGGGCCAAGGTTCCTACTCAACAGCACTTGGCCATCACGTGGGCTGAAGGAGGATCACGTGCCTGAGGAGGATCTCGAGCCAGCTAGCTCTCCTACCTCGAGTAAGTACTTTTAAAGGCTCTCTTACACCTAAAGAAGAGAGATTTTGCTAGTAATGCTCATAGCAGCATCCTCCAGCGACTTTGGAACTTTCCCAATTCTTTATGGAGGGCACCAGGGCATCGGCAGGAAATTCCCATCTTCCCCACCAGAGCACACCTGAACACACTGGTTACAGAATTTTTAGTCAAAACTGAATTCACCAGAGACAGTGAAAGCAGCAGCTGCACAAGAAGTTATAACAAGAATTCCCATATGCTAGGACTGTATCCACTAGCAAGTAATCTCCCTTCAGTAAAGCTTTTGCTTTCTTGCTAACTGTATTATTTCTGTACCAGTACTCTGAAATAGGTTTTTAAAAAGTTTCATGTATATATACATCAATCAACCCTCGATCTTCTCAATATTTTAACACAGATCCTAACAGAAAACTGTCTTACCTTAGTGTCTCCAGTTTCTTTGTCCTTGTACTGAACACCCACAACACAGTCATCTTCCTCGAGCAATTGTAACACAGTGCCCTCAATGAATTTTGCACTGAAAGAAAACAGAGGGGTTATAACAGAATGGAAGAGGATTAATGATGCCAACATTTCAAGGCACTAGACACAGAAGGAAAATCAGATTTTCACTCATCTTTTCTCTGTCGACTTTGAATTTTATGAAGATGGGCCACACTGAACGTCAAAAAGTGTTTGGAATTCATTTCAGTTCAACACTACCACTTGGTTTGATACCTGAAAAGATTCTAAAACCTTAGTGTTTATGTTAAACACCCGACTACCACTTAGCAGAATCCCCAGTTGTGTTTTATGTGCTCCATGGCCACGTGAGAGATGCAGAGTGGAGTTTGACAGTTAATAATGGTCAGAAATGACGCAGCTGACTGAGTCATCCCTGCCAGATGATGGGAAATGCTGACAGTGTGGGTGAGACCCAATGCAGAACTCAGCAGCAAGATCCAAAGCAGAGCTTCAACACTTAACATGTACACTAGACAAAACCGAGGTACCTAACTCTCAGAGTAGTCCAAAATAATCTAACATGTTTAGGGCAGAGATATCTAGCCCTTCAATTCCAGAACTCAGGACACTTTTTTTTTTTTTAAATGCTTAAAAGCTCTGCTAATGCTTGTGTTCAGAGTTTGAACTGAGCATCCCTTACTTCTACCTCCCAACCAGAGCTATTCGGGGTTCACAAATTAAATCTTTGTAAACTTATATCCCTTGTTGGATCCGAGCTGTTAGATCTGATCCCAGTGGTTCAGATTTGGCAAATTAAAATGGACACTCTCTCTCCCTTGCAAATATTTTTGTATCCAGGTGGAATTCCACAACTTGGAGAAATGAGCTAACGGCTCACATGTGAATACAACAGTTTGATATTTTAGGCTCTCAGGGAGAACATGAGCAATTGAATTCATGCCTTTCTACACGTCAGCCAGCACAGAAATTTCAGAGCAGATCGTGACTGGCTTCATTTGCCAGGCAACAGGCACGCTGGCTGTATCAAAACAGGAGTGGTTATGTGTAAGCACACCAACGGAAACTTCAATTGCAGGGGAGTGCGGCAACACGTCAGGTTAATGGCAGCTGAATCAGAGTTCTGTGGATCCTATTAGCTTTACATTTCTTTTATACCTGTCATTGCAACTAGGCGCTCGCTTCTTTTTCTGGTTCTCACCCACTATAAAAATAATTAATTAATGATGCCCTGCCTCTTTCCTCTGCAAAATTAATTTTACTCATCTGAAATAAATTCATATTGCCTAGTACTTATAAAGGCTATCTATGAATCAGTAATAATTATCCCCTATATTTTCACAAGCTTTGAGAAGAAAAACAAAGCCTCATTGCACTATTAACCTTGATTTCTCCCGCATCTTAATTTAACATGCAGTTTTCTACGCTACAATTAAAATGGAAAGTAAATACAGACAAAAGGAACATCGAAGACAGTATGGAAAACGGGAAAACTGAATTCAAGTAACATTAGCTATTGTAAGCTTTGGTTTCAAAGACTGTGTACACTACTGCAGTTTCCCCCATGAGCTGCCTGAATTTCAACAAACTCAAAGCCTCAAAAAGAAAGCTTTAGCTTTTATAGCTAGTAAATGCCGCTGTCATTAATTTTAACTGTACAACAGAGTTGCTACCTTTTAGTGCTACTTTTAGAAATTCATATGATATAACAGATAGTAAAAAAGCAATTTTCCAGTTCAGAATAAAGACATGTAAGGTAAAAAGGTGATAATGCCATGTTTGCCTTGTAAGTATTATTTAGGGGGAAAAAAGACAAAACAACACCTCACAGAAAACAGCACCTACAAACTCTTCTGTTGCAATAAAAGTTTCCTTCTCATCTCTTCTATAAAAGAAATAAATCAGTTAAAGAGAAAAATGCAAACACTAGCTATTATTTCATTTGGAAGAGAGAGTGTCTTCAAGATTCTGAAAACCAGAAGTTAATAACTTGAAAGAGCTACTTCCATTTAGTGCTCCTTTCTAGTAATTTTTCTCATCTTCTTGCAATCAGAAAAAAGCAGAACATGCAAATATGAAAACAGCTTGATTTCTGGCATCACGGATAGCATCAGTGGAAGAGATGTATGTCCCTGCTCGTTGCAGGAGGGTTGGACTAAGGCAACCTGTAAAGGTTCCTTTCAATCCAAACCATTCTATGATTCTAAGAAATAATACCAGACATGCCACTTATTTCTTGATCAAAGAAGTTCTACACTTTGCTCTCCGAAAAGAGGTCACTTCTTCTTTGGTAAAATGCCAAACCCAAGAATCAACAGAAGAAAAATCAGTGCTTTACCCCTTAACTGTTCTTTCACATGAACGGGCCCATACCTCACCTAGTATCTAAAATCTATATTCCCCATAGTTTAAAGATTCATTTGTCCCAAAGGGTAACGTATGATGTCCCCAGGTGTTGCCTGGTCTAGTCAAGAGGTGGAGTCCCTGCCCATGACAGGGAAGTTGGATTAAATGATCTCTTAAGGTCCTTTCCAACCTAGGCCATTCTGTGATTGATCTATGATTGATTGATCTATGTATACGCAACTCAAACAGGTCTACAGAAAACAGAACGAGTAACTACAGCTGTTGCTTTCTCTCAGTCTTGTTGAATACACCCTTCTGTGTTGGGACAGGGTGAAAGGGTTAAAGAATCTCACGGATGCTGGGAACAGTGCTTCTGAATCTCTGGATCCCAACCACGCAGTTCACAGGGTGACTCACTTGGGCTCTGCCATAGCTGACTTTCGGAGACCCATGATGAACTGGCCATGATGAAAAGATCTTCCACTCGCCACACAGCCATCCTCAGATGTCGGATAAGGAATTTCAACCTCTGAGTTGCTCTCTATGTCATGAACTATGTAACCATTTACTAGTTGAGAATCAATACCTTCTACTGTATCTGCAAAACAGAAGCAAATAGCTTGCTTAAAGACTTTTTAAAACTCATCTTAATTATGACTGAGAAGTGTTTCTTTACATATAGTCAAATTTTCCTAATCAAAACACATATGTTGAAGGATGAATATTTTTAAAATGGCAAACTGGAAATACGCAAGCAATTTTAATTCAAATATTAAGTGTAGATACCGTATTTCTTCATTTTTCTGTAGGCATGCTTTTTCAAAAAATAAAATAAAAATAATAAAATGTAGTAGTTGTTGTGTTGTTGATATACATTTTGAAATGCACTCACCTTCAAGACCCAAGTCTCTAAGTGCCTTAAAACCTCCAGGCTGCAACAATTCTCCAACTATCCTGTCAGGTTCTTTCAGATCCCTCTCTATCACAGTCACTTTTCTTCCATCCCTTGAGAGCACCGTGGCCAGGGAAGAACCAAGGACACCCGATCCCACAATGATAATTTCTGGATCGTACTGGGATGGCAATGTTGCATTTGGAGCAGTTTCTGTCAGGTACCCATCCGACAAGTTTACTTCTCTTTTGCCCTTCAGAAGAGAAACACAGCAAAGTTACATGTGCCAATGTATCTGTATCATAACCTTGTCAGAGCGGGCTGGCTTTGATTAGTTCTACTTTCACCCAGAGGACTGAGAGAGCATGAGTTGTTGAAGAATATCTTCCAGTTTAGTTTTGTCCAAAACCACAAGTAGCGAAAACAAAAAAAACCCAACATACTCCCCACACCCGAAAAAATCAAGATGATAATTCCTTAAAAATTCCCTGCTGATCAAAGACAAACCATTAACAGTCTCAGAGACTGAAAGTCAAGTTCCTATAGAAGGCAGAAAGCCAAGACTGTACCACATTCTTACTCTACATAAAGTAACACACTAATGCCTTCACACCAGTGAGCCACTACCACACAGAGGCCTTAGCACTTTGCAATGAAAAAGTTACCAGATTCACTGGAAAACGTATTTCTCAGCAAGGAAAAGTGTCAGCAGAAAGCAGGTATGTGGGAAATGATATAAAGAAGTGGTCCTGAAATGAAAATTCATTGGACAGTCAAAATTACAGGCAAAATTACCATCCACCTATGTTCAAAATTGTTAAGAAATGACACACATCAGATGACACATTAGTTAACCTACCAGCTGTTACCTGAAGACCAGCTATGTTATGGTACCTTCCCAACAGCACCTAATCACACACATTTCAAAGTCAAAAAAAGATGCAACGGCCATTCCAGTGCAAACCTGCAAGTCATTTATCCAGCTGGTAGAATGAAGAATAGTGCCCAATTCACTCTTTCACAAATGCCTCAGTACTGCAGTGCTGACAGTGATAAAAATATGATTGCATCAGTGAAACAAATGCCCAGAACAACACTGACAACAGAATTTCTAGTGGCACGGTGTCATGTTTGTATCTACAACACAGCAAAGGAGTGCAAGATAAACCATGTGAATTGAGGTAATACAAAAAATAAGGGTAAAGGAAGGCTGTGCCCTAAAAATAAAATAAAAATAGTTTCAAGGTCTTTTGTGCAAGGGGTCAGTGCTCATCCAAAAACGCTCAGAAGCATACAGGAAAGTGGCCAAACAGTGATGACCCACAGAGGTCCTGAATATGCATGTCCAGTCTGAGCTGACAGGACTCCTGCTAAGTTCATCACAAACTACAGCTCTCTCCACCATCTCACATGCTGGGCTCAGGAGAACAGACTGTCTGAGCTTGGGTCCTGTAGCTATCATAAAAGCAGCAGATTAGCAACAATTTCCAAACAATTCTACCTGCAGCTGTCCAGACAAATGTGTTTTATTCATAAATATCAGGAAGCTGATCAAAGAGCCACAGAACGGCTGAGGTTGGAAAGGACCTCTGGAGGCCACCTGGTCCAGGGCTCCCTGTTCAAGCAGGGTCAGAGCTGATTGGCCTGGACCATGTCCAGCAAAGTTCTGAACACCTCCAAGGATGGAGACTCTGCCAGCAATCTGGGCAACATGTTCCAGTGTTCAGGCACCCTTACAGTAAAAGAGTGTTTCCTGACGCTCAGAGTAAACCTCCTGTGTTTCTGTTTGTGCTCATTGTTTCTTGACCTGTCACTAGGCACCACAGAAAAAAGCCTGGCTTCATCCTCCTTGCACCCTCCCCTCGTGTTTATCTACACTGACGAGATCCTCCTGAGCCTTCTCCAGGCTGAACAGTCCCAGCTCTCTCGGCTTTTCCTCAAAGGAGGGATGCTCCGGTACTTCATCTCTACCACAGACTGGCAGCTGAAGATATTTTTCTGTTAGTATAATCATCCTTTACAAATCTTTCTTCAAACACATTTGATTTGACTCTACGGAAGTCCTGGTCTGTCATTTAAATAAGTTTCACTGTTTCTTTTGCCATCCAAAACTAACACAAAATATGCCAAGTCCCACATCCAGCATCTAAAGACAAACCCTCCCCAACTGTTCCTTAGTGCCTTTCCCACCCCATTGCAGAATATCAGCGGCCAGAGGGAAGAGCAGGAAAACACTGCACCCCACGTGCCATGTCTGAATTGAACCTACCTTTCTGGATTTGGGTTGTTCAACTTGTTGAGATCCGGGAGTGGGTTTGGCCCAGAAGAAGCCAACAAGTGGTAAAGCTGAGAGAACATCAGAGAGCATCCCCAGGTGGGTCTTCTTCTGCTGCCGCTGCTGCTTGGGCCCCCTGAAGCGGTACCTGTAGGACAGCAGCAAGCCAAGGGAGAAAAACACCAACACGGAGAGCAGCACCTCCTTGTTAGCGTAAGTCATGAGGTCTCCGCACTTTTTATACACGTAGATGAAGGAGGCGATACCCAGAAAGGTCCACATGGTGAGGGGGCTGGTCACTGGTCCTGGTTGCTTCCTCCAAAGCTTTGCCGGTCGGGTGCTGCCCAAAAAAGGGGTTTGTGCAAGGTATGAAAAAAATATATGTACAGAAACCCAAAGACTTCCTTTTCGATGGAAGGGAGGCAGTTCCCAACGGAAAAACAAGGAGCTCCACGAAACCCTGTGGAGGAGCAAGTCCCACCTGCCCGGGCTGCCACAGGAGCCCAGAGAGAGGTTCCAAAAAAGAATAAAAAAATTTTTAAAAATTGTATCTCAAACGTCTTCTTAAAAGTCAGCGAGTTCCGCGCAGCACCTCAGAGACACGCCGGGC